TTCCACTTTGTTGCTGTTGTTAGATGCCATTAAGTCTCATAGCAACTCATAGTGACCCTGTACACACAGAACAAAACACTGCCTGGGTCTGTACCAACCTTACAATGGAGCCCACTGTGCCAGTCCACCTCATTGGGGGTCTTCCTCTTTGTCTCTGACCCTCCACTTTACCAAGCATGATATCCTTTCTCCTGGGACTTGTTTTCCTGATAATATGTGCAAAATATCAAAGACAAAGTCTGGCCATCCTGGCTGTACTTCTTCCACCACAGATTGGCTTGTTCTTTTAGCAGTCCATGGTACTTTCAATATTCTCCTTCAACACCACAACTCATATGCATCGATTCTCCAGTCTTCACAGTCCAACTTACACACACATATGAGGTTACTGAAAATACCATGGCTTGGATCAGGCACATCTTAGTCCTCAAATTGACATCTTATCCCTGAACACTTTAAAGATGTCTTTTACAGCAGATTTGCCTAATGCAATACATCATTTAATTTCTTCATTTTAAATCCATGAGTGTTGATGACTGATCCAAGCAAAATGAAGTCTTTACAAATTCAATCTTTTCTTCATTTATATGGAATTTGTTTATTGGTCCAGTAGTAAGGATTTTTGTGTACGTTGAGTTGCAATCCATACTGAAGGCTGTGCTCTTTGATCTGCATTAGTATTTGAAGTCCTCCTGGCTTTCTGCGAGTAAGGTTGTATCAGTTGCATATCGCAGGTTGTTAATGATGCCACGCTTTCCTTCATGTAACCCAGCTTCTGGAGTCCTGGTATAGCACTGTGGACTAATGCGTCAGACTGCAAAGTCATTTGAACTGCAAGGTCGGTGGTTCAAGCTCACCAGCTGCTCCTTGGAGACCCTATACAGGGTCGCGATGGGTCAGAATCGACTCGAAGGCACTTAATATCAACAACAACCCAGCTTCTGGGATTATGTGCTCAGCATACGACTGAACAAGTACAGTGAAAGAATAAAACCCAGGCACACACCTTTCCTAATTTTAAACCATTTGGTGTTCCCTTGTTCTATTCTAACAACTGCCTCTTGGTCTATGTACAGGTCCCTCATGAGCACAATTAAGTGCTCTGAAATACTCATAACTCCTCAATGTTATCTGTAGCTTGTCGTGATACACACAATAGAAAGTGTTAAAGTAGTCAGTAAAGCACAGGTAAATATCTTTATGGTATTCTCTGCTTTCAGCCAAAATTAATCTGATGAGAGCAATGATATCCTTCATTCCGCATCCTCTTCTGAATCTGCTTGAATTTCTGTCCTGTATTCATGTTGATGTACTGCTGTAATAATATTTGAATTATCTTCAGCAAAATTTTACTGAAATCATTTGATGACTTTCACATTTAAAATGGTAGTTGGTATCATAATTCTAATTGTTGATATCAGGTTGGTGGCTTCCCAGGATCAGACACCCAGCCAACATCTATGTTGTTGTTGTTGTTGTTGTTAGGTGCTGTCAAGTCGGCCCATGACAACCTTACGCACAACAGAACGAAACACTGCCTAGTCCTGCGCCACAATCATTGCTACACCTGAGCCCGTTGCAGCTGTCATTGGGCCAATCCATCTAGTTGGAAGTCTTCTTTTTCTCCGACCCTTCACTTTACCAAACCTGATATCCTTCTTCAGTTAGTGGTCCCTCCTGACAATATGTCTGAAGTGTGAGAGACAAAGTCTGGCCATCTTGGCTTCCAAGGAGCATTCTGGCTGATTTGATCTTCCAACACAGATCGATTTGTTCTTCTGACAGTCCATGGTACTTTTAATATTCTCCTCCAACACCATAACTCAAATGCATCATCTCTTCTATGGTCTTCAGTAGACATCTGCATCCACTGTGTTTTGAATCCTAGTACAGTCCTCAAGTCTCTGCCACTGCAAAGATTCTACAACCATCCCAACCCCCTGTTGTTGTTTTATTGTTAGTTGTCACCAAGTCGATCCCAACTTATTGTCACACCATGAGTATAGATTAGAACTGCCCCATACGGTTTAAGGCTCTGACCTGGCCTGTGTTTTGAGGTGCCTCTGGGTGAGTTTGAACTGCCAACCCTGTCAAGAATTTCAACATTAGCGCCACCCAGGGACTCTCAGTCCCCTGTCTTAGTTCTCTGTTGTTGTTGTTGTTGCTAAGTGCCGTCGAACCAATTCTGACTCTTAGCAACCTTGTATAGGATTTCCAAGGAGCAGCTGGTGAGTTTGAACCGCCGACCTTGCAGTTTAAACTGATATGGTTGGATGCTTATCCTTCAGCGTCACACCAGGACTCTGTACAGCTGTAACAGATACCACAAGTGGATGGCTTTAATGCACAGGAATCATTTTTTCACCATTTCAGAGCCTAGAAGTCCACATTCAGGGGTCTAGCTCTAGGGCAGGCTTTTGTTCTCTAACCTCGCATTTTAAGAGGAAGATCCTTGTCTCCTTTCAGTATCTGTGGGCCCAGTGTTCCTTGAAAATCTCCATGTGTCTTGACATCAGTCTTCCCCTGGGTTTAGGAGATTCCCAGCACAGGGACCTGGGTCCAAAGGATGCACTTTGTGCCTGTCTCCTCTTTCTTGGTGGTAGTATGTCCCTCTGTCTCTCCCCTTTTATCTTAAAACAGATGCAGGCCATACCTTAGGGAAACACCCCTCACAGTGATCTGATTAAGGTTGTTGCTTCCCACCCAATCCCCTTACATCAGATCAGAGTTGTGATGTAATTAAGAGTGCACCTACCTTCCTTTCCTTACCTCAGATCAGGGCTGGTCACATCAGACCACACCAAAGGGGATGACGACATTATCACATAACTGCCACCTTACCTCATTACATAACTACCACATTACATCACCACATAACTACCACGTTACCTCATCACATAACCGCCACATTACCTCGTTACATAGCTACCACATTACATCACCACATAACTACCACATTACCTCATCACACAACTGCCACATTACCTCATCACAGAACAGCTACCTTACCTCATCACATAAGTGCCACATTACATCATCACATAACTACCACATTACATCATCACATAACTACCACATTACCTCATCACATAACTGCCACCTTACCTCATTACATAACTACCACATTACATCACCACATAACTACCACGTTACCTCATCACATAACTGCCACATTACCTCATTACATAACTACCACATTACATCACCACATAACTACCACATTACCTCATCACACAACTGCCACATTACCTCATCACATAACAGCTACCTTACCTCACCACATAACTACCACATTACCTCATCACATAACTGCCACATTACATCATCACATAACTACCACATTACCTCATCACATAACTACCACATTACCTCATCACACAACTGCCACATTACCTCATCACATAACAGCTACCTTACCTCATCACATAACCGCCACATTACATCATCACATAACCACCACCTTACCTCATCACATAACCACCATCTTACATCATCACATAACCACCACCTTACCTCATCACATAACCACCACATTACAACATCACAGAACCACCACCTTACCTCATCACATAACCGCCACCTTACCTCATCACATAAGTGCCACATTACATCATCACATAACTACCACATTACATCATCACATAACCGCCACCCTACCTCATCACATAACCACCACATTATAACATCACAGAACCACCACATTACATCATCACATAACCGCCACCTTACCTCTTCACATAACTGCCACATAACATCATCACATAACTGCCATATTACATCATTACAAAACTACCATGTTACCTCATCACATAACCGCCACCTTACATCATCACATAGCCACCACCTTACATCATCACATAACCACCACCTTATATCATTACATAACTACCGTGTTACCTCATCACATGACTGGTGCATTACATCATCACAGAACTATCACATTACATCATCACATAACTACCATGTTACCTCATCACATAACTGCCACCTTACATCATCACATAACCGCCATCTTACATCATCACGTAACCGCCAAACCACTGAGAATCATCGCTCAGCCACGTTGACCCATACTTTGGGGATACAATTCAGTCCATGACACCCTCAAAGCCCTTGAAGCAGCTGAGAGGCACTAAGGAACCGGGGAGGTGGGGGCTGCAGTCCCTTAAGTGATAAAGAAAGCAGGTCAGAGGGAAATTAGGCCTGGCTCCCTGTTGTCTGAAGTTTCCTTCCCCGGCAGTCCCGATGCAGATCTTTCACAACCTGTGCTGGGCACAGACCTTCTCCCAGACCCCCTCATGGGCGAAGACGAGCAGGCATGCATACCCGGAGCCAATGAAACAATCGGGCTGGATCTTTGATAAACAGCCCAACTATATCCACCAGAATGAATCTTGTTTTCTTCTAAGCAGTCACATACCTGAGGGGCTGTGTGCAAATTTAAAACGTTTTGCAAACCTCCCCTTTGGGATCGTCTTTCGAGCCTCCAGCACATTCTTTCTTGCCTCCTCTGAGGGAACAGACTCTCTTCATTTTAGAGTTGATTTAATTTTTGGAAATAGCCAAAAGTCATTTGAAGCTGAGCCTGCTAAATAAAAGGGGTTAGTCATGCAAGTTAATAACACTTTGGGATAAAAAATAAGGTTATACTTAGAAAATATTGATTTGCTGTTTTTGATGCTGTGTGTAATCTGACTCTCAAATCAGCTGCAAAGTAGGCTCCGGACAAACTTGAGCAATAGAAGTGGTTGTGGAATAAATGTGGGCCTCCCAAGGCAGAAACTTTGATAGGAACAACACTCATTCAGATACATGAGACGTGACGTGTTCATTTAAAAAGAGATGCCTGATGTTTCAACGACTTGTATAATTCTTCCTTGAGTAATTACTCATTTAAGAATACGTAAGGCCATGACTTTTGCATGCCATATTATTTGGGCATTCTCCTCTCCGTTTTATCCTTCATTTCTTTATTCCATCATTCTTTCTTTCTCTTTCAGGCATATGTTGAAATGATTAGACTGAAAGATGATGAAATACTCAAAGTACAAACCAAAGAAGATGGAGACGTCTTTATGTGGTTGAAGCATGAAGCCACCCGAGGCAACGCAGCAGCTCAGGTAAGATCATGTGATCATGTGATCAGTGAGTCCGTCAGTCATCTTACTAGGTCAGCTATGCCTCGGAGGGCAGTGGTGGCTCATGGGTGGAATTCTTGCTTTCCAAGCAGGAGACCCAGGTTCAATTCCCAGCCAGTGAACATCATGCATAGCCACCATCTCTCTGTCAATGGAAGCTTGTGGTTATAACAGAGAGTCTAGACTAAGTCAAACTAGGAAGAAAGGCCTGGTGATCAACTCGGGAAACCAGCCAGAATCTGCATCTGAGTGTGAGGGTGGCCCGATATTAGGAGTCAGGTCTCTTCGGCAACAGCTACCAGTAAAATGTTGCAGTAGGAAAACATCTCAAATCTCAGCGACTTAAAATGGCATTGGCTTATTTCTTGTTCACACTGCACAGCTCATGTGTGTTGGCAGAAACTCTGCTCTTGGACTTCCTTAGGAACTCAAGCCGATAGATACATCTTCTCACACTGCTCCCAACACCACTGCAACAAAGGGATGGTCATGGTGCATTACAGACTGGCTCTTGACGCTTCTGTGCAGAAGTGGTTCAAGTCACCTCCCTTACTCCATTGGCCAAGGCAGCCACAGGCTGAATTCAGGAGGACTCTATGTGAGGTCCTGCCCAGTGCTCAGAAGAGAGAGAGTCACAATACTGATTTATTGTTGTTTGTTGTGAAATGTACTATGGTTCGCTTCTGACCCATAGTGACCCTATATAGGATTTCCAAGAAGCAGCTAGTGAGCTTGAACCACCAACCTTGTAGCTGAAACCAACTTTGCAGTCCAGTACATTAATGCACAGTGCCACAGTACTGATCAGCCCCTCCATAAACTATAGTCAGACACTTTAATGTACCAGATAGAAATAAGAAGAAGCATCTTGAGGCCCTGAAGAGATGAGAAGAGGGCCATGAATTCAGCTAGAAGAGAAGGACACTGGAGAAATCAGGATCCCAGTGAATAAGGCAGACTGCAGACGAATCGGTGCATTTGAATGATGGTGTTGGCAAGGAATATTGAAAGCACCATGGACTGCCAGAAGAAGAAACAAATCCATCTTTGGAAGAAGTACAACCAGAATGTTCCTTAGAAATAAGGATGGCCAAACTTCATCTCACATTTTGGACATGTTGTCAAGAAAGACCAATCCCTGGAGAAGGACATCATGCTTGGTAAAGTGGAGGCTCAGCATAAAAAGAGGAAGACATCCCGCCAACGAGATGGATTGGCATGGCAACAGCAACAATGTGCTCAAATGTAACAATTGTGAGGATGGTGCAGGACCGGGGAGTGTTTTGGTGTGTTGTGCAGAAGGTTACTATGAGTCGAAACCAACAACAACAGCATGTGATCCCAGAAGGATCAGCCTTATCTCTTGGGCATCTCTGTCTTGAGGAGGGACTTCTTAAAAGGACAAGAGAGGGAAGAGTCTGGTAAAGTGTCTCCTCTCTGGTTCCTTTTCTTGATTGCACTGTCCATCCCTTGGTAGGACCTAGGTAAGGCAGACTGCATCCAGAGGGAGCCTCCCTCCCACAGGAAGGATTTCGCTTTTGTTCAATGTTTCTGGTGAGCAGATGAGTCTAAGGTAGCACCTCTGAGGGTGCTCAGCAGGCAGAAGGCCAGAGAGCAGAAAGAGAAAGAAAAGACTTAGTGGAATTGGCAAAGGAAACAGTTCAGACTCAAGTCTTCTTATTCCACCACTCTGGAGATACTGGGCTAGAAGGTGTTCGTCTTGGTGGGAAAGAGGGAAGAGAAGGGACAAGGGGAGGGACAAATGGAAGGAAAGATGGCCTTGCACATTGGGTCCTTTTGAAGAGCCATCCGTGTGGGATCCCACTGACAACACAACTCAGAAGATTGGATAAAGAATTTAGGAGGCAGTGACTTTAGGTCAGTGGGAGAGGAGCAAGGCGAAAAATGAGGGTAAGAATGGTTTCACACTGAAAGTGTCATCAGTGTCACTGTAGTACATGTAGACATTGTTGAGTCTGTGTTTTGTTGTGTATATTTTCTTTCTTTTGAAAGGTTTTTATTATGGATTGAGTGAACGTTTTCAGGGCAGATCATTAGCTCTACACTTCAACAAATCATATACTTTGTTTCATTACAATGATTATAATCCCCACCATCAACACTGGACCAATAAACAACATTCTTATCAATGGAGAAAAGATTGAAGTTGTCAAGGACTTCATTCTTCTTGGAT